AGTACACGGGTTATTAGGTATGAAAATAGTTTATAAATGGATCAGTATAATGTGGACAACCTTTGCGATACAACACGTCACTCTATGATTTTTGTTTGTTTGTTGTTTAACGCCACACTCAGCAATATTCCGCCTATGTGACGGCGGTCTGGACCAGACAATCCAGTGATTCATATCATGAGCATCGTTCTACGCAATTGGGATACGACGGCATACATCAACCAAGTCAGCGAGCCTGACAACCCGATCCCGTTAGTCGCCTCTACCGACAAGCAGCGTAGCTCAAAACCCTGTTCATATTATATAGACATCATCTCTACCCGGTCCGTCACCTTATGAACTAGTTTATAACATATAGCTATAACTCTATTCATTGCATAAAAGCTCTTAATAAACCCACACGCACTGATTTCAACTGTCAATATACAGGTACATAGTTGCATTATGTAAAACTCATGTCTATGTTGAGTGGTTCAAACACGCTGTGTTTGATTCAACTGGCCTCGTGTCGTGTTCCATTAATCCTCGACCGGCCTCCTTGTGTCCAATAACCCCATGCATTGAAAATATTAAAACTGTTCGCTTAACGCCTAAGTGTCAAGTTTAACACTTAACGCACCCCGAACCCGCCGTCCCCAGCAGAGCACAGAGAACCAATATCACCCGGTGTATGGAAAGCTATGTCTATTTATTTATTTGATACAGATAACGTATAATTGGTTTCCAACCGAAATGACATCTCGCAGACCTCCATGTTCAATGTCGCGGCAATTGTTCCATTCTTTCGTCTTTGTATACTATCTTCACGAAGGTGTATTAAAGCAGATCCACATAAAGGTACATGTAATATTATCTATATCAGCGTGTGGGGATATGGTCCGTATAAGTACATCAGGCCAGGGGGACTATTGTCTGCTACCAGAGTCTATAAGCCTATGCAGTTTGACAAGTCAGGCGTTAATGGTTCGCGCTGTTTCCAATTCGCTTCTAAAAAAGTCTGCCTTGAATCAGAATCTCCAACATGAGTTCAAACGACTCTATAAAGTAATAACCCAAGACTGATTTTATGCCTGACCGATTGGTCAAAGCAGGTTGGCGATCTTTTGGCGTTTGATTGGCCCATGTAAAGTGAAATTGGGTCCAGTTGTACCTTGTTTGGATTCCGAGACCATATACATGTTTTGTTTGTTTGTTTGATGTTTAACGCCGCACTCAGCAATATTCCAGCTACATGACCACGGTCTGTAAATAATCGAGTCTGGACCAGACAATCCAGTGACTGACATCATGAGCATCCATCCACCCAATTTGGATACGATGACATGCATCAGTAAGTCAGTGAGCCTGACCACCCGATCCCGTTAGTCGCCTCTTACGACAAGCATAGTCGCCTATTACGGCAAGCATGGGTTGCTGAAGACCTATTCTACCCCGGGTCATCACGGGTCCCATATACATGTACTCCCCGTTGCAACTTTGTGTTGGTACTATAATGTCGGCCCATCCTTTCCCCCATTGTCATATTGAAAACTATAACTTTATACTCAAAATAAAAAGGGTTTTATAATCTAATGTTGTTCGTTATTACAACCGAAGCTTGAAAATGAATATGATTGTATGGGCTTTCGGGACGTGTTCACCCATCCATCTGTGTACATTACAGTGCTCTTGTCTGTCCAGATTAGAGTGAGTGAGTGCGTTGGGTTTAACGTCGCTTTTAACAGTATTCCAGTTATATCACGGCGTGTCAGCTTAATGTGGGAGGAAAGCCCGAAGTGATGCAGGTCTCAGACGTTTACCACTTCGGTGAAACCCACGAGCATGGGTATGGTGCTGACAAACCTAGAAACATAATCGGGGCGAACTGGGATTCGAACCCACAATCATAGATTTCTGGCGTGTTCAAGGGACGCAACTCTGCACAGCGAATCGCGGCGCATTAGAACGTAACTGACCATTGCCCTTCACACAACAGGCGAACCTTTGACCGTTCCTTGGAACATAACTGACCACTGACCTTCACACAACAGGCGAGCCATTGACCATTCCAGGGAAAGTAACTGACCACAGACGAACCTGTATCAGTAAATAAAGCGACAAAACCCTTTCCATGTCCAATTGAAATCTCTGCACGAGCAGAGTCGATAGTACAATTCCGACTATATCAACTGTTTATGATTCACTATCAAATAGTAATGATACCTTGTGTTCGCGAATAGGTGAACGTATCCTGCCCCACCGGTGGGGAAATACCTGTGTCGTAGGATGTTACACTGGACGAAGATGCGCCTGTACCCAGCACGCCACATCATCAAGGGGCGGACAATATATTTTGAAGCCAAAAAACCCCTGGTCTTTCACAAAACACGCTAAATGATAAAACTGTAACTGCCGTTCACTGACCACGCTGGATGCTCTGAAAACTGTGTTGTCAGGTGTGTTTGGCTCCACTGGCGGGGAATCATTTTGTATGTTTTGAAGCGCTGATTGAGAAAGAAAATCCTTTCTTAAACAACACTCCAAGTCCCCTGTGTATTTGTGTACGTATGCTTCTAAACATGGTATAGAGAAGCAAACGTTTCGAGAATTTATTTTTATATCATTATAATTGTGAAAACCGCTTGTAATTATGTGACAGTGATGGACAAGTCAAAAATATAAACGCGATTACGTTTTTGACACAAGCTTCATAAATCTGCGGTTTCGATTACAACTATGAAATTGTATGCATCCCTTTCTCAGTGTATTTATATAATTTATAAAAAGGTGTAATTGATAGTAATAGGCATACAACTTCATTGTTTTAATCCGAACTGTAGGCCTGTACATCAGCTGATGTATTATATGAAGTAACGTTTCGGCAATATCGGCTCCTGCGGTTGTTCAGCGACGTGCAAATAGCTCCGGATAAACGCCATCTCATACCTTGAAATTAATGACAAATTGAATACGAAAAGTACATTTCACGGACTGCACGTGCAATCTGTAACTTCCTTCCATTGACAGCACGTGCAATCTGCCTTCCACGGACAGCACGCGCATCAGACATTCGGAGGACATGACAGCCACACTTGACACAAGGAGCGAGGGCGAGAATATCGCGAGTGTGTAAACAGCAAGGCGAGAAGCTGTGAGCTCAGAGTGTGTAGGTCAGACACATCTATGTCATATACTAAACAATGAATTATATATTTAGGATTAAATCTGCTCCGTTAATTGTTTAGAGTAGAGTGTATCTATCAAATTAACTATATAATAGACTTAATGATTGTTGATGTGTCATTATTACGAAGGGTGAATAAATTGAGAAAAAAAAGATAAAATAATTGTCAAACACAGAAACGACGGGCTGATCAGTTCAAACATTTTATGGTAGAAGTTCAGAGGAATTTACTGAATATGACCGGTCCCATGCTCTGACCTCTACAGAGTGTTTTCAGAAACCCTTACTGACCCGTGAAGATACGGGGTAGAATATATAGGCCTTCAGCAACCCATACTTGCCGTAAAAGGCGACTAACGGGATCGGGTGGTCAGGCTCGCTGACTTGGTTGATACATGTCATTGATCCCAATTGCGTGGATCGATGCTCATGATGTCAATCACTGGATTGACTTGTCCAGACTCGTTTATTTTACAGACCGCCGTTATATAGCTGGAATATTGCTGAGTGCGGCGTTATTAAACAAACAAATAAACAAACAAACAAAACAAAACAGAACCCCTTACTGTCAATGAAAATAGTGTGAGTGGTCGCTGCTATCGATAGGGCAGGACATGCTTATCTTTTTCCGGGAGCACCTGTCATCACTAATTTTCAGTGATCCATTCATATATTTTTCACCGCTATTTCGCCTTCTACGCCAAGTGGAATCTGTTCAACAGATATTCGAAACTGATTATTCTCTGACGTTGACGTTTTAACACACAAAATAGATTTTTTGTATGTGTATATTCAGATCTTTCGCTGTACGAATAATTGAAAACATAATTAGAATTCGCTTGAATTTCACAGTCAATACCTACAGCAACGAGTATCGTTCAAACTGCCTGCTTCTTTTTATTTACAAAAAAAATCATATCTGCTGGGTTGTATAATCCCCAGGGAGCTGAGAATAATGAAAGTTGAGTGCACACTGATCCAACTTGGTTAGTAATAATGTAACCTCTTGAATATTCACTTGGTGAATTAATAGTGCACTATAAATGGACTTATGGATGATTATTATTATAATAAAAATAAAAATGATGATGATGATGATGATTAGGATATTATTATTATTATTAGTCAATTCTTTAGAAGAGGATTAATAAAATAAAATAATTCTTTTCCGATCGACATATAAAAAAAACACGTGTTTGTTACTGGTTACACGTTTGATTTGCGGCAGCGTTTTCACCGGTGTGTAAGGCTATAAAGTGGGCCAAAGACCCACAGTCTGGTGTCCATTTCCAGGCTAGGTCTAGACAACTGTCATTATAGCGCTATGTATAAAACTGACATTGCCTCCGTGTAATTAGGCCGCAAGCTACCATTGGCTCTAAGATCGATATACATGACAGAATTGAAAAAGCAGACAACCAGAATTTATTTGAACGGCTTGAACCAAACTTGCTAGGACAGCCAATAGACCTCTTTAAAGATAGACATAGGTAGGGTATCACTGTTCAACATATTTGCAAATTCCGTACATGATTTAACGCGAGTTGAATACAACCGTTGTAGCTCGCCGAAACACGTCAGGTATTTCGCACACAAAAAACGATCAATTATCCACCGTTATTTGCTACTGTATAGATACAGGCAATATGTGCATTCACTTTGTCAACCCCGATAAGATTATTACAACCGCCGGAAGTGACGTCTAACTGCATTAATTACATTTTCTTCTCTCGGTACGATAAGTGCGCGACTCTTAACTTGAAAAGGTTTCACGGTAAGCAGCTTAAGAACTCCGTACAATGTGGCGTCCACGCGCGGCTGATGTTATCGGACAAGGTATACACACAGTTTATTAACATACAAGGCCGTATGGGAGGAATGACTAGCTGTGGATTCTCTAGCAGCTTGGTCAGGGTGAAGATTTTAGGCTTGTGAGGTGGTAGGGTAAGGGCTTTATCAACCTGGGATTATCGGATATACCTGTGTCTTAATCGCTCCGTCACTAATCCACCCAACAACACCCTGCGTTAATCTGTTCGAGACCAAGCCATCGTCAGGTAGAGGACGCTTGTTGACAACTGTGGACGTTGTGTGTCGAGTTGGGGCCGTCTTGAGTCGAGTTTGTAGACATTTGGTGACAATGCTGGATACTTGACTGTGCCACTGAGATTGTATATCACCTGAGATCACATTGGTTGAATAGTGACGCCCTGTCCACAGAGACGTGAGTGACTATATTTTTATTCTTGGGTCATCATGACCAAATGGTAGCGGCCGAAAGGGCAGATGGGGAACAATCTTACCACACCATTGCATGATGTGCAAAATGTAACGGGTCTGTTTATGATCGTAAAACTGACCGCGTTATTTGGACATAGTTGTCAACTTCTGGGGGACGCGAGATGGCTCCTTTTTAAAAGTAACGTTGTCCTATTTCCTTGTGTAAAATAAACATTGAGGGGTGGAAACAAAAAAACCTGTATTTGGTAATGTGTGTACTCTGAAAAAAATAATACATTTTTCAGCAATGTGACGAACACATCATATTCGAATATAATGCTCTGTAGCCGGTGAATGTTATATTTTTTATGTGAAAAATACTGCAATCTTCATTATATGTAAATCTGCAATGTATTTAATTTTTTCTGGCATTAGGTAGGTGCGAGTATTTTATTGTGGGTGTGGGTGTGGTCACAAGAACAATAATGCACCCCCTCGCTGTAGTTCAGTCTCTTAAATAAGCAAACAAATTTTATGTTATTATGATTAAAGTCGAACGCAAAAATTACTCTGATTGTATAATTATTTTGTTTGCTGAAAATCAGTAATTATTTTGAAGATATGGTCTTTATGTTGACACAGATTCGCCAGTTTTCCAACTTATGTAAAACAAACCAGTTGTCAAGACACATCGGGGTTGTTTAATGTCATGTTAATGTGTATGGTTGAAAGAAAAATATCGCCTCAAACCGATGCACACTTCTAATAAGGAATGAAAATTCAAGAACACAAAATGCTCCGAAAAATGTCTCAATTATTTTTATAAAAAAATATATTTAGAAAGCGTAAGGGGTCCACATTGAATCGAACACATGCGTTATCTTTAATCGTCAAAGAAAAAGAGTGACTTTTGTTTATATGCTTTTCAAAGTCATTACAATGTATATGATACAGGAACATGGTCACCGTTACTTTAGTTATGAGTTTTTTTAGTCAAGATCATTTAAAAGTTTTGTATTCTTATTTTAAGCAGCGACAACATGCCCATCTACCCGCCTACGTAATAGCCTAATAATGTAATCAAGTACGGTACTTCATATCCGGAAATATTTTCAAGTCGAAATGATACCACCGGCTCTATTGAACAACGTCATTTCAAATTGCCAAAATATAGTGCAAAAGGGCAATCGCACATTCTGGTATTCAGAAAATAATTTTAGCATGACATTACCGCCATTTACAAAGAGTTGTGGTAAACACTGCACCAATTAGCTCCTGCGCTGCGTTTCTGCATGTACTGATCTAGGCCGTTCACCTGTAGGAGCGGCCGTAATGACTTTCTGAATAGCTAATAGTGTTTGTAGGATGTGTCTATTGCTTGCTTATACGCTACTCTGCCTGTCGTTTTCTATGTTTATTATTACCTTCACGTCGCACTATGTAAATCGATATTGTCTTGTAGTTCATTGTTCATACTCCACATGTTCATAGTTGAACCAGTCGTCTAAGGCGCCGCGATTCGCTGTGCAGAGTTGCGTCCCATGGGCACGCCAGGAACGTGTGATTGTAGGTTCGAATCCCGGTTCGCCCCGATTATGTTTCTAGGTTTGTCAGCACCATACCCGTGCTCGTGGGTTTCACTGAAGTGGTAAACAGAGGCCTGTGTCACTTCGGGCTTTTCTCCCACATTAAGCTGACACGCCGTGATATGACTGGAATAATGTTAAAAGCGGCGTTAAACCCAACTCACTCACTCACTCACGCACGGTGTGCACACTAGATTATTTACAGACTGCCGTCATATAGCTGGAATATTGCGGAGTGCGGCGTTAAACAACAAAGAAAGAAAGATCATAACATCTTGTAGAAAATAGCACAAAATAATTAAAAGATAGTAAATATAATAGCGACAAAACACTTTCCATATCCACATGAAATCTCTGCTAAAAGTTGAGTCGATTGTACGCATCTGACTGTATCCTGAGCATGCGTTTATGATCACTTTTAAATAGTGATGACACCAGGTGTTCGCGAAAAGGTGATGCGAGTCATCTCCAGATGGTATCATACGCGAATTACAGTGCTTTATTTATGAAGAGCTCCATTAAATTGATTTGGCTTGGCCTGTGTCGTGTATAGAAAATAATATAAAAATATAAACATTAATGTGACAAGCCGACACGCCGTGAAACAACTGTTTGTTTGTTTGTTTGTTGTTTAACGCACTCAGCAATATTCCAGCTATATGACAGCGGTCTGTGAATAATCCAGTCAAGACCAGACAATCCAGTGATTGACATCATGAGCTTCGATCCACGCAATTGGGATACGATGACATGCATCAACCAAGTCACCGAGCCCGTCCACCCGATCGCCTCTTATGACAAGCATAGTCGCCTTTTACGATTTAAGTACAACAGTTAATGAGGTTATGTCGGTGACATCTAAATACCCCATAAATTATTCACCCCTAAAAAAAGTACTAAAAACTTATTCGCTAATCCTGCACTGACAACCCGGACAATTTCCCTTGTGTCCCATACCATCCGGATTAACGCTTTGTGATATCAATATTTGGGATACGATGACATGCATCAACCAAGTCACCGAGCCTGACCACCCGATCCCTTAGTCGCCTCTAACGACAAGCATAGTCACCTTTAACGGCAAACATGTGTTGCTGAAGACCTGTTCCACCCCGGATCTTCACGGGCCCGTGATACAACTGGAATAAGGTTAGAAGCGACGTTAAACCCAACCCACTCATGGTATTTTTTATGATTGTCCTATCTAACGCTAAATTACAAGCAAGGTCGCCTTTCTTCCACCTGATTGGGTAGCCTAGTGGTTAAAGCGTTCGCTCGTCACGCCGAAGCCCTAGGTTCATTTCCTCACACTGGTACAACGGAAGCCCATTTCTTGTTTCCCCGTCGTGCTATTGCTGGAATATTGCTAAAAGCGGCTTAAGACCATACTTACTTCTCTCTCCGTTTTTATTCACCCTTCCTCATCCTCCGTGCTCATGTCTCCATCCCCTGCCTCTGAAGCCGTCTTATAAAATCTATATCCTACCGAGATTAGATACACAAGACTGATTCCTTCATGCCACAGGTACTTAATGTTTCCTAGCAGTACATCACGTGATCCTGCTAATGCCGATCTGCCAAACATGAAAAAGGGCCATGTCTCCAGTGTGATGGTGCATTTAATACACCATGGATATCAGTAACAATTTTACTCTTGTTCCTGAGACAAAAGGTAGACATTGCAAATAACTATAACATGACCTCCTGTACTATGATATAGATATCACGGCATGTGGTTGAGAGAGTCCATGCCACACCCATATCCTCTGTAGATGGATTTGTCTCTGACATTGGGCGAAAACCGACACAGCGTTATCTTGTATTGTAATCGCCGCCAGCCGCCGATGTGACCCCGATGTCACGACTAATTTACCATACATTGAGCTGCCATGTGTGTTGGCCCTCCCATCTCCAGGCTGTACAGACTGCTTAAGCGACCGAATCACACAAACACTATTGACTGAGGTGAAGTCGGGTCCATTTGATAAAATGAGTGAGTGGGTGTGAAGGTCATTGTGTTGAACATTGTCAAGGCCAACGTGTAGATCAATGTGTTGAACAGTGTTAAGGCCAACGTGTAGATCAGTGTGTTGAATAGTGTTAAGGCCAACGTGTAGATCATTGTGTTGAATAGTGTTAAGGCCAACGTGTTGACTAGTGTGTTGAAAAAAGTGTTAAGAACAACGTGTAGATAAGTGTGTTGAACAGTGTTAAGGCCAACGTCTAGATCAGTGTGTTGAACAGTGTTAAGGCCAACGTGTAGATCCGTGTTTTGAACAGCATTAAGGCCAACATGTAGATCAGTGTGTTGAAAAGTGTTAAGGCCAACGTGTTGACCAGTGTGTTGAATAGTGTTAAGGCCAACGTGTAGATCAGTGTTTTGAAAAATGTTAAGGCCAACGTGTAGATCAGTATGTTGAAAAGTGTTAAGAACAACGTGTAGATCAGTGTAATGAAAAGTGTTAAGGCCAACGTGTAGACCAGTGTTTTGAAAAGTGTTAAGGCCAACGTGTAGACCAGTGTGTTGAAAAGTGTTAAGGCCAACGTGTAGATCAGTGTGTTGAATAGTGTTAAGGCCAACGTTTAGATCAGTGTTTTGAACAGCGTTAAGGCCAACGTGTAGACCAGTGTGTTGAAAAGTGTTAAGGCCAACGTGTAGACCAGTGTGTTGAAAAGTGTTAAGGCCAACGTGTAGACCAGTGTGTTGAAAAGTGTTAAGGCCAACGTGTTGACTAGTGTGTTGAAAAGTGTTAAGGCCAACGTGTTGACTATGTGTTGAAAAGTGTTAAGGCCAACGTATAGTTCAGTGTTTTGAAAAGTGTTAAGCCCAACGTGTAGATCAGTGTGTTGAAAAGTGTTAAGGCCAACGTGTAGACCAGTGTATTGAAAAGTGTTAAGGCCAACGTGTTGACCAGTGTGTTGAACAGTGTTAAGGCCAACGTGTAGATCAGTGTGTTGAAAAGTGTTAAGGCCAACGTATAGTTCAGTGTTTTGAACAGTGTTAAGGCCAACGTGTAGATCAGTGTGTTGAAAAGTGTTAAGGCCAACGTGTAGACCAGTGTAATGAAAAGTGTTAAGGCCAACGTGTAGATCAGTGTGTTGAAAAGTGTTAAGGCCAACGTGTAGACCAGTGTGTTGAAAAGTGTTAAGGCCAACGTGTAGACCAGTGTTTTGAAAAGTGTTAAGGCAAACGTGTAGATCAGTGTTTTGAAAAGTGTTAAGGCCAACGTGTAGATCCGTGTGTTGAAAAGTGTTAAGGCCAACGTGTAGACCAGTGTGTTGAAAAGTGTTAAGGCCAACGTGTAGACCAGTGTTTTGAAAAGTGTTAAGGCCAACGCGTAGATCCGTGTGTTGAAAAGTGTTAAGGCCAACGTGTACATCAGTGTTTTGAAAAGTGTTAAGGCCAACGTGTAGATCA